TCCAATTCTTTGACTCCAATTTTAATAATGAATTCCTACAAATGGTATCGAGTATTAGTTCTTTCTTATGGAATTAGTTCGTGAAACTACTCTATTTAAATCTTTTTCACTTCCACGTCAAAAAATAAAAAAGTTAGGATGAACCCACGAGGTATATCGGCCAAAAATGATGTGATGAAAGTATGTATCAGAAAAGGTAAAATGTGCACAAGCATAATGCCAACACTTGAAATTGTGCTGAGGTAATTGTATCAGTAAAAGTTAAAAAGTTAGAGAAAGTGGATTTATAAGCTTGCTATTTGTCTGAGGCAGCTATTCCGGATATATATTTTTTTTACTTTTTTTTTTGGATACTAATGGAATTACTTCTGTTGATTTTGCTGTTTCTTGTAATAACTTTATCCAAGTTTCAATAACACTTCAATTGAACAAAAATTAAAATACTTATAGAGAAATGGTTGGCTGGTTGCTGGAGAATCTAGATGAGTCGTTATGGTCAAGTTGATTAGGCAGGACCTTGGCTACCTCGTTATGGTGAAAAGGAATGTAATTTGAACCTGACAATTGACTTCAATACAAATTCTGGATTCCCCCCAACTTCTTGGACATTGAAGCACGGCCATCCAATTGGGTTTAACTTTCTTGCCTTTCATTTTCCCTTTTTTCTTTTTGTGGTCCTATTAGTAAGAACTAATCAAGAGATACAAGTAAGTTAAAGGGTTCTAAGTTGAAAATCATTTTCTAAAGGCAAAGAACAATGCGTGTCATCATTGTTGGAAAGAAATTTTGTAACAACAAATTTGAAATTCCAACAGATTACACTTTGAAGTTCCAACAGATTTCAAACTCAAATAAATCACCTGTAAGCCAATGAACATTTGTGCATGTTAACACTATCTAATCTGTTGTTTAATTAGTTCGAGCTCAAATTCTAGGATGAATATTGATAGGAGGGCCTAAAAATCCTAAATTTGGCATACAAAATTTGAAAAAACTCTCAGATCTAATAAACAAAAATTAAGGCCTTGCTTGCCAAATTGGCAACCACAATTACAGTAGAACAAATTGATTTGAGTTCCTCCATTGACTCCATGCTTAAGGCTATCTTTTTGTGGAATACGCATCACATCTATATGTCATGGTGATTCTATCCATGAAGCTCATAAAATTTAGGTAAAGTGAGCATCCTGGTCTTTGGACTTTAAACGAAAGTGTATTCCTTGGGTTATCAAAATATTCCATTTAAGTTTAAATTGGTTTCAAATGAATCCGCAACCAAAGTCCACTGAGTTTCTCCGTTGACACCACGAATTGCGGGCGCGTGCAAGGAAATGAGAAAGGTTAAATAGGTTCATTGAAGGACACCTAGACAAGCGGAAAATTTTAAATTTTCAGATTTGATTAAATTTATATTGCTCGATCTACTTTCGTGTCATTTTCTAGTTAATCCCATAGACTTTTAGATGTATCCATTTGTATCCGCAAAGCTTTAGTTTTTCCAGTTATCCTGGAGTCCTTTTTGCCCTTAAATTTGAACCTATTCCAATGTCAATATAAGTTCCTAATCTCCTCGTGTCATTTAATTTGTTTAAATTTATTTTGCTCGATCTACTTTCATGTCATTTTCAAGTTAATTCCATAGACTTTTAGATGTATCCATTTGGATCCGCAAAACTTTTGTTTTTCCAGTTATCCTGGAGTCCTTTTTGCCCTTAAATTTGAAGCTATTCCAATGTCAATATAAGTTCCTAATCTCCTCTCAAATTATGCTAGTATTTAGCTTGTGCCTATCATACTTGTTATTTTTTTTCAAATGGATTAACCATTCCTACATTAATAGTTTATACATTGTTAGTTTTGGATGAATAAGAATTATGTAATATTTAAATTTGAAATTTAATTTTTGCACATGTATCGTAGATCCAATGATGATAGTACATATGCTGTCAATGTGTATAAGATTTACTCTTTTTCTAATTGGTTGTGAATACAGTATGAATAATTCAAGTCATCGTTCTTACATATTCTTTAAAATTGGCTTTAGAAAATTGATGCATTCTAAGTGTTTAGTTACCATACCAATTTTTAAAAACTTCTATACATGCTTTTACTATGATATAATAATATTGATTAATACTATAATGTATACCCAAAAAATTGGTAGATATTTTTTGAGATAATTAAAATTTTATTAAATGACCATGAACCTAGAACTATATATTTCTACCAAATTAAATACTAAAGATCCAAACATTATTTTTCATGAAGGAATATTTTATTTCTTTAGATTTAATAAATCTATAGATATAATAATTAAACTAAGTAAATTTAAGTCGTACTGATACAAAGGGTAAACAAATTTATTAAAAAAGATACATATTTTTTTGTTAGAAGAGAGAAACATTATATAACCTATTAATTAGTGAAGAGTTAGATAGAAATATGGATAAAACCCAAGTATGCAAATGACCTACAAATTTTCTTCAATTAGGCTTGCTATCTAGGAGAGAGAAATGGTTAATTAAATTTTTAATACTTTCACACACATACATGTATATGTGCGTGTATAATTAAATTTTAACAATGGTCGTAAACCTAGAACTGATTTTGTGCTCAATTAAATACACAAGATGTAGCAATTCATTTATCAATGAATATTCCGTTTTAAGTTTATTTGAAAAGATAAAAAATGTTAGAAGAGATGAAAACTATAAAAAAAAATTAACTAATTAGAGAGGAATTGGATACAAATATGGCTAAATTCTAAACATTCAAATGACTCATCAAACAGTGAGAGGTGAGCTTAAGTTTGAAATTAACAAGATAAGTGGAATGCTCTCCACAGCCTTCCTTTTTTAGAAAGTTTAGGGTTTCGGTTTTTTGGCCGCATGGCAGTCGCGCTTGGCCCTCCACCGTTGGGGAGGGCACCAGAATTCTTCCTCCCCCACGTTTCGAAAGAAAGCCTTCTCTGAGTTGTTTGGGCAAGGGTCGCTGGCGGAGATTGCGAAAGTTCAGGCGTCACTTTCTACACATCGTGGAGAGCCGGCTGTCGTCTTCAAGGCAGATGACATAGCAGCGGCGGCGAATCCTTTTCGTTATACTTTGGTTGGGAAGTTCTCCAAAGGTCGCCCTTTGCTGCCAGATTTGCGAAAATTTTTTTCCACGCTGGATTTGAAGGACATGATTTCTGTTGGACTCCTGGATGCCAGGCATGTATTGCTGAGATTCCATGGTGAAGCAGATTTTCTTCGGGTCTAGTCTAGGAGCCTGTGGTATGTGTATGGCCGCCCCATGAGGGTGTTCAAATGGACGTCTAAATTTCATGTGGATAGAGAATCATCTCTTGTGCCTGTATGGTTTCGCTTGCCCAAGCTACCGATTCATTTATTTGCTAAACCTTGTCTGTTTCACATCGTTTCTTGCTTGGGTAATCCCTGTTTGTGGACAAGGCAACGTCTTCTTTCTCTCGGCCAAACGTAGCGCGGGTTTTTGTTGAAGTAGATCTTTTAAAAACTCTTCCAGCAAGGGTTTGGGTTGATATGGGAGATGGGGATGGTTTTTGGCAGGCTTTGATCCCTGAGAGTCTTCCTAAGTATTGCGGTCATTGCTACCGCCACGGACACGACGACGTTAATTGCCATATCAAGCACCCTGATCTGCGTGTGACCAAGGTTCAGCGGCAGGAGGTGGATGCGAAGTCGTTGTATGGACAGGGCTCTGAAGAGCGTGGGGCATTGATTGGGATGTCTGCTGGGATGGTTCAGGTTGGCGCAGCACAGGCCATGGGGAAGGGGCAGCAGGATGTGGGGGAGGAGCAGGTGGCTGTTGCTGAGGGGGAGCTTCTCCAATCACAGCAGCAGCCTGCACGGGATGTAGTGACGCTGGTGGAGGCTGGGATTGTTTCTGCGGCTGATGCAATCATTCACCAGTTGGCAGACTAGGTGGCCCACAAACATGTGGAAGTGCGCAAGGAGGATATGTAGGTTGGGGGGTCGGCTTTGTTCGACGAGAATGGTGCGGTGCTAGTAGAGAGTATGACTACGGATGCTGATTCAGCTATGGTGGGGGAGTTAGGCGCCGGGGAGGAGATGGATGTGATTGGAATAGGTAGTAAGGTGTCGCGGGGGAGGTATGGGGATGATGCAGAACGGGAAGGTAGGTTGGAGATTGTCTTACCTCAGATTGCAGCTGGCGTCGTGCGAGGGAGTGGCCACCAGGTCAAGTTACAGGGAGAGGTCGGTGCTGTAGGGAGATCTTCCCCTGATGCTGGTGAAGCACGAGCGGCTATGTCTGATGGAGATCAGAGGCTGGATTCGAGTAGTGATGAGGAGACTTTGTCTCCAGTGGGCAATTTGCCTCCATGTCACCAGGTGTGTTTCCAGGAGGGGAACTTCGTGTCAGCGGCTGGAGCTCTCGATAGTTCGGTGGTAGTTCACAAGCTCAAACAAAAAGGTATTCGTGCGCTTTTTCCATCTGACAGACAATTGCGGTCTAATTTGATAAACTCACAGAATTCCTTCCATGCTCTTTTAAATGATTAAGGGTCTTTTTTGGAATATTCGGGGCATCTCTAAAGCTCCAAAATTGAGAAGGATTAAACAGTTAATTAAAATACATAATCTTCAATTCTTGGCCCTTTGTGAGCCTTGGTTGAAGGTCGACAAAGCTGAACGGTATAGGTACAAATTAAACTTTCATGGCTTGGTGCATAATACGAAGGGTTCGGTGTGGGTTTTCTTTAAAGAACCTTTCTCAGGTTTGGTTATTGGGGAGAGTTCCCAGCATGTGTCTGTACGGTTGTCCCACGAGCATTTAACGGGCTCTCAACTGGTTGTATCCTTTGTGCATGCTCGGTGCACGTCTGAGGAGAGGTGTGAGCTCTGGGATGGTTTATTGCGGGATAACCCAGGTTCTGCGGCATGGGTTGTTGGGGGGGATTTTAATGTAATTCTAGTGGCTGAGGAGAAGAAAGGGGGTGGGCTTTTGACCCTTTGGAAGCTATGGAGTTCAAGGATTTTATCACTGAGGCTAATCTCACAGATATTGATTTTTCTGGCGCTCGCTTTACCTGGTGTAACAATAGGCAGGGCAGGGCAAGAATTTGGAAGAGATTGGATCGGGTTTTGTTGAATGAGGGATGTCTGGACTTGGGTTTGGATTTGGCGATATCTCATCTAGCCAGGGAATCATCTGATCATGCTCCGCTCCTGATGTCCGTTTCCACCAGATTGGATAATAAACCGCGTCCGTTTAAGTTTCTTAATTTTTGGACGGGGCGTGAGGATTTCTTGCCTATGGTTCAGGATTCCTGGGGGCAGCCATGTCCTGGCTCTCCTCTGCATGTTCTTTGTTGTAAATTGAAGCGTCTTAGGAGCGCTATCCAAGCATGGAATAGGGAGGCCTTCGGGGATATATTTCAGACAGTTAGGCAGCAGGAAGAGGAGGTGAGGCTTGCGGAGCTGCGAGTGGAAAGTGATGAGTCGGTGGACGCTAGGGTGAATCTACACCTAGCTCAAGGTCGTTTGCGGGCTGCCTTGAGAGTGGAGGAGATGTTTTGGGAACAGAAGGCGCGGGTGAGATGGTTGCAGGAGGGAGATCGTAATACAAAGTTTTTTCATTCTGTGGTCAAACATAGAATGGCACGGTCGATCATTCACAGGATTAGGAATGGTAGAGGGGTGGGCTGAGTCGGAGGAGGAGATAGGTGCTGAGGCAGTGCGGTATTTTGAGGATTTGTTTACGGCTCAACATGTGGCTTCTTCTTCTACTTTGCTTAATCATATCCCAAAAATTTTGACAGTTGAGGAGAATGATTTGTTGGAGCAGGTTCCCTCTGAGGAGGAGATTCGTAGTACGGTATTTGCGATGGATGGGGATAGTACTCCGGGCCCGGATGGATATACGGGTAAATTTTTCACGGCTGCTTGGTCGGTTATCGGTGAGGATGTGGTTAGAGCAGTGGGTAGCTTCTTCTGTGGGGCTGAGCTGCCGCGTGCAATTACAGCGACCTCCATTGTGCTTATTCCTAAGATTGCGCATCCCCAGGACTTTTCGCATTTTCGTCCGATTAGTTTGTGTAACTTCGTTAACAAGCTAATTTCGCGAATATTGGCGGATCGCTTGGCTCAAGTACTTCCTAAGATCATTTTCCCGCAGCAGAGTGGTTTTGTTCGGGAGCGGATCATATCAGATAATTTCTTGCTTGCGCAGGAGTTGCTATCTAGTATGGGTAGAACCTCTAGAAATGCTGATGTTGCTCTTAAACTAGATATGTCGAAGGCTTACGATCGTGTCTCTTGGGTGTTTTTGACTATGGTCTTGCGTAGATTTGGATTTGGGGAGCAATGGATTGACAGGGTTTGGAGATTGGTGTCGAATATCTGGTTTTCAGTTTTGGTTAATGGAGCGAGTGTCGGGTTTTTTAAATCTACGCGAGGGATTAGGCAAGGCGATCCATTGTCCCCAGGTCTATTTATCATTGGTGCGGAGGTGATGTCTCGCTCTCTAAATAAGCTGTTGGAGAATCGGGAGTTTAAGTGTTTTTTAGTTCCTAAAGGATGCCCTAAGATCACTCATCTTAGCTATACTGATGATGTCCTGGTTTTTTCTGGTGCTTGCTCCTCTTCATTGAGGTGTGTCATCCAGACGATTGGCGGGTATGAAGCAATATCGGGGCAGAAGATTAATGTTCAGAAGTGTGGTTTCTTGACTCATGATAAGTTGCCTAGCTATTGTATGGCGAGGGTTCGGCGGGCAACGGGTTTTGGCCATAAATCTTTTCCTGTGCGGTACTCGGGTTGCCCGCTTTTCACAGGGCTTCGGAAGAGTGTGTATTTCATGGAGATGGTGCAGTCAGTCATTAATAAAATTTCTTCATGGAGATCCAGATTTCTATCCAGTGGGGGGCGTCTCATACTCATAAGGCATGTTCTCTCTGCGATTCCGACTCACTTGCTTGCAGCATCTTGTCCCCCAAGAGAAGTCCTTGCCTTGGTTGAACGGGCCATGGCCAATTTTCTTTGGGAGGAGCCGGAAGGGGGATTCCGGCATCACTGGATCAAATGGAAAATTTGTGTGCCGGCTTGGCTCAGGGGGGGATAGGTATTCGTTCGTTACTAGAGGTCCAGTCAGCGTTCTCACTCAAACTGTGGTGGCGGTTCCGTACAAGTGATTGTTTATGGTCAACATTTATGAGGGCAAAATATTGTCGGCGGAGTCATCCATGTATGGTGGGGGCGGTGCAGGGTAGCTCCTATGTGTGGCGCCGCATGCTTCAAATACGTGAGGTGGCAGAGCAAAATCTTTCGTGGCTGGTCCGGTCTGGTCAGTGTAACTTTTGGTTTGATAATTGGCTGGGATCTGGTCCTCTATGTCAGCGACTACCAAGTGTCTCTGACCATCCGGTAGGTGATTTCGTGTTGAATGGACTGTGGAATCAACAGTTGTTGCGGCGCTGGGTCCCGGATGATATAGTGTCAGAGATTATTACCAAATCTCCCCCAGTGTGCGGTGTGGGTTTTGACGGAGTCAGGGGATTTCTCGATTGCTTCCTCCTATGTGCTCCTGGGCAGGCAGAGTCCTTCCTCATTCATGTTTAGCAGGGTATGGCATTCTTTGATACCAATAAAGGTATCTTTTTTCATGGTGCGGTTGTTGCGGGATAGATTGCCTTTGGCGTCTGCGCTAGGACGATTGCATGTGTATGGCCCTTCCAAGTGTTTTTGTTGTTCGGCCCCGCAATCCGAATCTTTGGACCATATATTTGGGGAACGGGATGTAGCTCAGTTTTTGTGGACATTCTTTGGGAACGGTGCGGGCGTGACGTACCGAGGGAGTGGGGCGCGGTCACGTCTGGCTGGCTGGTGGTGTCAACCGAAATGTAGCTCGCGTTTGGCATCACTTCACGTACTGGTGCCTAGTATAATCTACTGGCATATTTGGTTAGCACGAAATCTTGCGATTTTTGAAGGGAAGTGCCTGCGTAGGGAGGCCATGTGTGAGCGCATCCTCGCGGATATTGTGGGGCTTTTTTGCGAGAAGTATGCAGGGGAGGCTGTGGGTCATGGGTCTTGGATGGCATTTTATTCCAATATCTGTCGATGGAGGCCTCGTTATTGTCATAGTCTGGTTCAATGGGTGCTTCCAACCCAGGGGACTTTCAAGTTAAATACGGATGGATGTTCGTTGGGCAACCCGGGCGTTAGTGGTGGGGGTGGTGTGCTCCGGGATTCATCTGGTGTAGTGGTGTTTGGGTTTTCGACTCCGCTTGGGGAGCTGACATGCATTCAGGCGGAGATTAGGTCCTTGTTGGTTGGAGTGCAACAATGTCTCCTTAGGGGATTCTTGCGGATTCAGGGGGAGGTGGATTCTCTTGTGTTAGTCAACATACTGCTCAAGAAATCAAGGTGTCCGTGGATAATTCTGCCAGAGGTAGCTGCCTTAGAGACGACTCAGGGTGTGGAATGGTCTGTTGGGCATTGTTATCGTGAGGCGAATCGGGTGGCGGATGCATTGGCCAAGGTAGGGGCACGGTCAGAGGATTTTGTCTTGTATTCTTCACAAAAAGACTTACCCAGATTGGCAAGGGGGGCCTTGGGCTTAGATAGGTCTCAGACTCCCGCTATTCGTGTTAGAGTTGCTCACGTGTGAACTCTTTGTAATTTTGATGGTTTTTCACAATAATATTTTGGGGTGGCGTCCCTCCCCGCATAGGGGTTAGGCGAAAAAAAAAAGTGTTCAAAATTTGATAAATGAGTAGATTAACTGTTAATTTTGTGAAAAAAAAAGACTCATCAAATAATTATGCATGTCACCTAAGAGAGAGAAAATGGCTAATTAGAGTTAGTACTTCATATATACATACATACATGTGTGTGTATATGTATGTATATATGTATGTATATGTATATGTATGCATGTGTGTGTATATTCACATTTTCCTACTCTAAAGACCATTTTATCATGGAATTAAGTGGTATAGTATGCCATTGGTTAATAGTCTAGTGGTCGATGCTCATTCTATGGAGGTAAAGAATTCAAATGTTGTCATTCACCCTACTCAAAAGGTAAACATGAACAAATATGCATAAGCACAAAATGTGGCAAAAGAGAAACATGTCTGATGTGACATGTTAGAACTAATAGCTCAGTAATACGCTTAATACTATAGGACATTAGGTTGCGTTTGATAAAACTAAACTTTGAAAATTGAAATATGAAATATGAATCTATTAAATTATTAAGTATGAAATTAAATACATTTGAGTGTATATCACATTAAGTGATAAGTAAATACCATATCACTTATTTTTGGGAGCAAGTTTTGTCTTAAAAATTCAGTGTCACTTAATTAATTCAAATATTTAATTTTTGGTTGTCAAACATGTCTGAACATATTAAGACCTGAATCTATTAAATTTAAGTGCTGAATTTAGATATCAAACAGTGAGTGGAAAATAAGTGAAGCACACAAACATGGTGTCTCTATGTACTCAAAATAAACTTCCACAAGTTAATTTATTTGAGGTTAAAGCAGTAATTTTAATCTGATAGTAATAGCTTCGTTCGTCTTATTTGATGGGTAACCGCACATAATGGAGAATTTCAATAGGTAGAGAAATTGTAAAGTTCACTAGTTCAGAGCATATAAATATTTAACTATGCATCTATCTTCAGAATGCAGTGTCGAAATAGTTCCTAATTTTATTTTAATTTATTATTTTTTTAACAAAAGAAGAAAAACAAAGAAAGAACATAGGTTAATGCTAAAATTTAGAAATGTTGAATGAAGTTTAACTTATCACGGCACTTGACCATCATTATTTTTTTTTTATCCATTTCTTTCCTTTTCTGTTTCAATTTTATATCAACTCCAACATTTAATCCTAAATTTTAAGCTAAACACTTTTTACCCTAAACTTTTCTATTTAGAATCATGTTTGTACTTTACAACAATAAATTGTATGTTTCACATTGCATCTCAATTTCCAATTTGGAGATATATATTTTACACTGTAAAGTGTTTTTTCTGTCCCACCGTTATTTTTTTCACTTTACTCCACCATTAACATGTTTGACGTGTTAAATACTAGTAATCGTATTAGTGTTTAATAACAGCATCTAGTTTTAACTTCTCATCATATTCTTTGTTGGATCTTTGTCACATTTGAAGATATTAGAAATTGAGGCCCAAAAAAGAAGATATTAGAAATTGAAAAAACAATATTAGATAAAAATAACTAAATAAATTGTCCACAATAGCTGGTTTAAATCTTTCTTCAGGGCTAAACTATACAGCTACAGGAGGAAGTTGATCTTTCTTCCCAATAGATAAACCAGGTGCGTGATTTCTTGGTTGATTAACATAATTATAGTTCCTTCCAATATATGGAAAAGTTACAATGTGCAAATAAAATTTTGAACATATTCTATTGTTGAAAAATTATTGGCTAAAAGAAAAAAAAATTATATTGTGGGAACCAATCAAAAGTTTGAGGGTGTAAACTGGAACGACCTAATTGAAGAAAATGTGATGCTTACATGGGACAAGTGACACTATTAAGGACGCAATGTGGAGTTGATGTAAAGTTTGAAGGTTCAAAAAGAATTAGTCCATAGTATGTCATTGCAAGTTTCGTAGCGTAATTTTTTGCTGTTCTTTGAGATTTAGAAATCAGAATAAAAACATAACTGTCTTTTTCACCAGGAAATTGCAAGGTAGACATTTCATATTCTATAGGCCAAGAGAAACATTAGTATATATAGTTACTTGTGACTTGTGAATTCCAGGAATTTCTCTAATTCATCAAATTTGAAAGTTTTGAAATCTAATGCAATATTTGAATAATAAAAGTGGGTAGAGATGCCAACGAAGAATGAAAAAAATGCAAGAGCAATTCCCTCGTGCCAAAGATTGTGTACAAATTTCAATATTGCATGATTTGAATGACCCTTAAATCCCATTACATTGTACTTAATTCATAATCGTATAAGTTCACCTACAAAAAGCAACTAAAAATCACAACATGTATAAGCAATAGATACAAATATGAAAATTTTTAAAATAAAAAAGTAGACCATCTTTCACTTTGTTTTTATCGTATAGAGTCGTATATCGTATTGAGTAGCATTTTCCAAACGTTAATAAGTTAAGGCTTTTATACACATCAAGAAGCAAAGTGGTTTGAGGATTTGATTGGCTTTTTTTTTTTTTTTATCGACGGGAGCATTTCATTTTTCTCCTTCCACTTGCGACTAGAACAATTTTGTGTGTCTCATTTGTTAGTTAACTGATTCGTTAGTTAATTCCTATTGCTTTTAACTTTTGAATACCGCTACTAGTATTTGAATTTAATGTGATTTATTCGGTAAGATGTATAAATAGCTTTGTAAGGCAACTCGATGATATATTTTATAGAAAAAAAAGAAAAATATAAACTAACTTTAATATATGATAGTAAAAAGTACAAAAAGAAAAAAGAAAGCTCCAGAAACTTGAAAATGATAGAATATTAAAGAAAAGGAAACTTGCTTATAGAGAAATTTTAACTGGCAACATGTATGCTATATACCTTCAAAACATATACTTCTAATAACCAACTATAGGTCGGAGGCTGAAGAATCTAAGATAAGGAAGGGTAAAGTTGATAAGACAGGAAATGAAATGTTTTTTTGGACATTGACTATTGATTTGGATTGTACATTCCAGTTTATGGCCTACTAAAATTGATTTTCTTGCCTTTTTTGATTTATACATTTTCGTAATAGTAGCAATGATCAAGAGATAGAAGTCAATCACGAGATCCAAGGTCAAAACCTTGTTCTAAAGGCGAAGGACAATGCTTGTCATCAGTCTTAGAAAGAAAATTTGCAACAAAATTGTGGCGTAGGGTTCTTGTCTTGTGGCATAGAAAAAAACGTTGGTCCGATGTTAATTTCATTGTTAAAGTTTAAATTTTTATTCACACGCTCTTTAAATTGTCCTCGTACAATGCACTATAAAAGCATATGTTTTAGGAAAAGCATGTTTTAGGAACATTATTCAGGAAATTGGTAACTACAACAACGTATAAGAAATGACTTTGAGTTTCTCTATTGACTCTATTGTTAAGACTATCTCTTTGTCGAATATGTGTTCAAAGTAGATACCTTGGTGATTTAATTCAGTGAAGCTCATAATGATTCGGTGAAGGCGTGAGGCGTCTAGTCTCTTTTTTCAAAAAAAAAAAAAAAAACAGGGTCTAGTCTTGGTCTTTGAACATTTATCCAAGCCTAGTCATTATTGGTATCAAATGAGTTCCCAATTGAAGTAGATTGATACTAGCATTCGGATCCGTGTAATGCTTGAGTTTATATTTTAAATAAAAAAGAATAATATTATTTTGTGAAAAAAATATATGGAAAGAACAAGCTAAAAATTCACAATAGTATAAACTTTAATGAAAATGTGTTATTCTAAATAAAAATAGAGGAAAAATTTCCCTACTCAGGATAGGTAGGTAATTGCCTTAGTTACTAACTTGAGAAAACTATGAAATTGCATCGAAAATATGTTTAATAGTATCATATGATATTTTCCAACTTGACTATCATTTGTCCCATTCTAAAAAAATTCTTCTTTCACCATGTTATTCTAAGAATTCACCATGTTAATCTAAGAATTCAACATATTGTTAAACTGCTTATGAATAACAAAAGAATTAATTAGTGCTGTTATTGGAAAAATATTTTTTAATGATTACAGACCCATACGGATTAAGTGTTTTTGACGATTTTTTAAAAAAAATCTCTCTTTTACTTCTTTCTCTTCCTCCCCTCCTTCACGGCCACCATCTTATCCTCTCCTTCCTTCTTCCTCTCCCTCTTTTTCTCCCCTCATTCTTCCTCCTTCATCTCTTTCCTTCCCTTCCCCCTTCCCCGCAAGCACTCTCCCCTCCCTTCTCCGGTCACAAGTGGCCACCAGATCTAGTTTTGTGTTTTAAATGAACATTCTTTTGTTTAGGGAACAAAAGGAATTTGTGGGGAAAAGAAATTGGTTGGAAAGCATGGGGAAGGGTGTGTAAGTGAAAGATTCCAAGTTTGAATCCTCCCATTTATACTAAAAAAGGGGTAAAAAAAAAAAAGAAGAATTTGTGTTGTTATGGAATAAATATTCAAGGAATTTTTTAAGGTCGCCAATCTATTCAGTCTTTTTTTTTTTTTTTTTGCATGCTTGTATTCTTTTTAAGTCTGCACATAAATTGTTTTTTCCCCCTCAATTATATCTATGACCACGATAAAATGCATTTTGCACCGACAATATTTCCAATAGTTAGTATTTTGCATCATAAACTTTTATAAACTTTTATCATCAATAGTATTTAACACCTTAAAATTAGCGGTTGGTTCCACTTTGGACCCAAAATTTTTTTTTTGTCCTTTTAGTTGTAATAATTCTAAATCAACCGTAGTGTCACATGGTTAGGAACTAATATGGGTGTCACACATGGTACCATTCTAGATTAATAATACAAAGTAGATCTAATTATAGTTCTTGGTGTCGAGAAAGCCTTTATCTAATGGTTAAGGTCAATGCTTCAATAATCATAGATTCTAGGTTTCAAATCCTTTTTCTCCCTCCGCACCTCGTAAATCCTACATTGCCTTGCTAA